GCGCGCGCTACCACACCTGGCTAATTTTTTTTTTTTTTTTTTTTAATTTATTGTGGCGACGAGGGCTACTCCAAGTTGCCCAGGTGGGTCTCGAACCTGTGGACTCAGGCAATCCACTCACCTCGACCTCCCAAAGCACGGGATTACAGGCTGAGCCACCAAGCCCAGCTAAGGATATCTTTTTAAAAAGTTGATAAATGTGATATTCTGATACATGCGTAAGATGTGTAATGATCAAATCAGGATAATTAGGATATCCATCAGCTCAAGCGTTTATCTTTTCTTTATGTTGGGAACATTTCAATTCTTCTCTTCAAGTTATTTTGAAATATACAATACATTATTGTTAACTAGAGTCACCTACTGTACTGTCGAACACTAGATCTTATTCCTGCTATTTAACTGTATTTTTGTACCCATTAATCAACCTCTCTTCATTGTCTCACCCCTCCCTCCCAGCCTCTGGTAAGCACTAGTCAACTCTCTATCTTTGTGAGATCCACTTTTTTAGCTCCCACATAGGAGTGAGATCATGCGCTATTTGTCTTTCTGTGCCTGCCCACTTAACATAATGGCCTCCAGTACTATCCATGTTGCTGCAAATGACAAGATTTCTTTTTTTTTTTAATGACCAATATCCCATTTCGTATATGTACCACCTTTCTTTTTTTTAAATGTAGTTTGATGAAGAATTTCTGGAAACAAAAGAACAGTTGCACAAGTTACAGGAAGGTGAGTATGAAAATGAAAACTATCTATAATAATAATTAAAAAAAATAACTGCTGTTTATTTGAAAGGGCTGATGACAATGGACAGTCAGATCGGTACACTAAAATCAGCAAAGCGAGAGGGAATAAGCACCTGAAATTGCCAGGAAATCAGTTCACATTCAGAAGCTCCTTAAAAGCTGGCTCTCTCCCTCCAACTCTCCCTCTACCTCCCAACCCCCCACCCCCACTTTCTTTCTCTCCTCTGCTCCCCCTTTTCTCCTTATCTTCCCCACCTCCTTCATGCCCTCGGAGGTATCAGATAAATGTCCCCATTCACTCAGGATTACATCTCTGAAGTCAATATCACACAGAAGTGAAATCAACAAAAGGCCCCCTACTGTTATTAGTATTTTTTTAATGTTACTATTATTATTATCATTGGGATGGGGTCTCACTCTATCACCCGGGCTGGAGTGCAGTGGTGTGATCCCAACTCACTGCAGCCTTAGTCTCCTGGGCTGAAGCAGTCCTCCCCCCTCAGCCTGCCCAGTTCCTGGGACTACAGACGTGCACCACTGTGCCTGGCTAATTTTTTTTTTTTTTTTTTTTTTGTGGAGATGAGGTCTTGCTTTGTTGCCCAGACTGGTCTCAAACTCCCGGGCTCAAACGATTCTCCTTCCTTGGCCTCCCAAAGTGCTGGGATTACAGGTGTGAGCCATTGTACCCAGCTTAAGGCCCCCGGCCTCCGTTAGCTCCTGATCAGCCCTGCTTTCTCCACACCCTCCCCTTGTAAGGAAAGCCACCAGCAGATCCATAAAGAACATAGCAGCCCCCTGATCAGCAGGGTCTTCAGGCCCAACCCAAGGCTTCCTTGAAGGATACTTGCTCTCCAGGGCTGTAGGGCCATCTTTCATGAGTGATACAGGTCTGAGTCCCTAGACGTGTGGCAAGTACGCCTCTCCCCTCTCCCCTCGCCTGTCCTCAGTGCCTGAGCCCTTTGAAGTCTGAGCTATATCCTATACCCACAACTCTACCGTGGTGGAAAGTATTTGATACAGGTTTGTTGAAGAAAGTAACATGACCATGAAGAAAGTAACATTTGACCATGAGTGATCTGGAGCTGCAGAACAGTCATAAACCAAAGAGTATACGTGGCTCTTTTTGTGACTTAGGTTTCATGATCAGATGCCCTAAAAGCAGTGCTGTCCAATAGAATCTTCTACAGGGAAGGAAATGTTCTAGTCTCACTCCAATAGGGTAGCCGCTAGCCACGTGTGACTGTGGAGCATTTGAAATGTGTCTAGTGCCACTGAGGAACTGAATTTTAAATTTTTTAAAACTGTAATGGCTGGGTGCGGTGGCTTACACCTGTAATCCCAGCACTTTGGGAGGCGGAGGTGAGAGGATTACCCTGAGCCCAGGGGTTTGGGACCAGCCTGGGCAACATGGCAAGACCTTATCTCTACAAAAAAAAATCTAGAAAAATTAGCCGGGCATGGTTATTAGTTTCAGCTACTTGGAAGACTGAGGCGGAAGGATCACCTGAGGCCAGCAGGTTGAGGCTGCGGTGGCCGTGGGTGTGCCATTCCACTCCAGCCTGGGTGACAGGGTGAGACTCTGGCTCAAAAAAAAAAAAAAAAATTGTAGTGATTTAAATGTAGGTGTCAATAGCAGTGTGAAGCTAGTGGTTACTGGATTGGCCAGTGTCACTCTGAAGAAACATCTCTGTGTTCCCTCCATCCCTTATATTTTTTCTGAGGTAAAAATGAAAAGAGAAGACTTGTAACAGCGCTAGTTTTCAGGCTTCTTTTGTGGCTTAATCTGCCCTGAGTGACATGAAAGCTGTCACCAGGGAGCTTTGCGCTGTTTCCTGAGGCTATGGCCCCACTGTCCCTGTTCATGTAGGAGAACATCTTTTAGGGATTGGAAGGCAGGGAGGGAGAGGTCACTGCTAACTCTGAGCATCCATTCCCAGGTGACCACCTGCTGTTCCAGCAAGTGCCCATGGTGGAGATTGACGGGATGAAGCTGGTGCAGACACGAAGCATCCTCCACTACATAGCGGACAAGCACAACCTCTTTGGCAAGGACCTCAAGGAGAGAACTCTGTACTGTGGCCCCCCCCAAGTGTTCTTCCCTTGTCAGCTTGCTGATGCCTTAATGAATAGCGATTCCCTGCAGCACACCCTGTCTACTGTATGTCTTGGATAGCTAGTGTGGAAAGGGAGGAAAAACCATAAACACCAGCTGGAACTCCAGTACAGAGAATCTGAGGAAAATTATAGAAAATTGAATTCAGACCAGGTGTGATAGCTCACACCTGTAATCCCAGCACTTTGGGAGGCCAAGGCAGGAGGGTGGCTTGAGGCCAGGAGTCTAAGACCAGCCTGGGCAACATAGCGAGATACCCATCTCTACAATAAATAAATAAATAAATAAATAAATAAATAAATAAATAAAATTAGTCAAGCATGTTGGTGTGCACCTGTAGTCCCAGCGACTTGGGAGACTGAGGAGGGAGGATCACTTGAGCCCAGGAGGTTGAGGCTGCAGTGAACTGCGATTATGCCACTGCAGTCTAGCCTACATGACAGAGCGAGACCTTGTCTCAAAAAAGAAAAAAAATTCAGATATTAAATACTATATCTAGGGTGTCCTTTCAGAAATCAACATCTTTAAATGCTTTAATACTACTTTTTTTTAAACCTATCTTACAAATTCACCATCGTTGTGTATTAGGAATGAGAAGTCACTGAGACATTCAGGGCCTGGGACAGTGTGCACTGGATAATAATTTGAACTCAGAGCTTGGTTCTTGCACCTCCTAGATGTATGACTCTGGGCAAAGTGTCAAACTCTAGTTTCCTGATAAGTCTCCTGTACAATGGCTGTCTATAACAGTCGAGCATTCCTCATAATGCCATGGGAGTCAGTGAGCTAATGGATAGAAGGTGCTTGGCACCATGACTGGCACATTCCAAGCATTCAATACGGGATAAGCACTAGCACTATTTTTTTTTTTTTTGAGTTGGAGTCTCACTCTGTCGCCCAGACTGGACCTGCTGGGCTCTGGCGATCCTTCCGCCTCAGCCTTCCAAGTAGCCGGAATTACAGGCATGCGCTACCACACCCAACTGATTTTTTAATTTATTATAGAGATAAGGTCTCGCTGCCCAGGCGGGTCTCGAACCCACGGGCTCAGGCAATCCATTCACCTCAGCCTCCCAAAGGCGCAGGATTACAGGCTGAGCCACCGAGCCCGGCTTCTAGCACTATTTTTATAAATGAGAAGTTTAACCCACTCAGAGAGGCCAGAGCATGGGTGCTGGGAGAGAGTGGGGAAGTAGGAACTGGGGGGAGAGGGTAGTCATGACAGTCATGCTCTCTGATTTGTGACTGATGTTTCTGAAGACTTATCCAGGTTACAACTGAAATTGACTTTGTATCTTTGCTCTTAAGAGGCAGGTGTGTAGGCAAACGCTTCTTGGTCCTTAAGTTGCCAGAGACTTAAAAAAAGACACTCAGTTCTTAGTAGTGGAAACTGATAAGTTCAAAGAGAGGGGAAACTGAGCAAACTGTTTTTTTTTTTTTTTTTTTTTCAGGATTGACATGTATGTGGAGGGGACGCTGGACCTGCTGGAAGTAATTATCATGCATCCGTTCTTAAAGCCAGATGATCAACAAAAGGAAGTGGCGAACATGACTCAGAAGGCCATAATTAGATACTTTCCTGTGTTTGAAAAGGTAGGTGGCAGAGACACACCAGTGAACACATCACAACAACCCCCAAGGGAGCTGCTCCAAGCCCTCTGTCCAGGGAGGTATAAGCTGAACCCAGTTGAACTAAGCCAAGAACCAGTGGACTCCTAAGCACTTTTTTTGTGTTTTTGTTTTTTGTTTTTCAGTCGGAGTCTCACTCTGTTGCCCAGGCTGGGTACAGTGGCACTCTCATGGTCGCCACAGCCTCGACCTGCTTGGCATAGGCGATCCTTCACCTCAGCCTTCCAAGTAGCTGGAACTACAGGCACACACCACCACAGCCAGCTAATTTTTATTTTTTTATTGTAGAGATGAGGTCTCACCAAGTTGCCCAAGCTGGTCTCAAACCCCTGAGCTCGGGCAGTCCTCTCACCTCTGCCTCCCAAAGTGCTGGGATTACAGGGTGAGCCACCTCACCTGGCGACTCCTAAGCACTAATAGTAGCCCTTAGCACAAAGCCACTGTCTTGGGGACCTCTTGGACTCTACTGGGACCACGTGACTCAGAAGTCCTGAAAAAGTGTGGGCTCACCACGTTTGTGCATTATTGTTCCTTGCAATCCTCATATAAGACAGAAAAACAACTTACTTTATTCATTCATTCATTCATCAAACAGTTGTAGAGTAGCTATCATTATCAGACATCCCCCTTGATAGCCTGATATGAAGAGAATCATTTCCGTTTCATTTCTCTTCTTTTTGCTCCTTTTGTTTTTTGTTTTGTTATTTTCCTCTTCTTATTACTATGTCTGTTTTTCTGAGCTTCAAATTCTTCTTTTCCTAAACTGGGAGGAATTTTTTTTTTTTTTAGTGCTTCAGTTCAAACACAAAGAAGGGGTTGTAAAAATACGGGAAGGCCTACTTGGCAAGCTTCCTCTGACCATCTTGATGGAATTCCATTCAAGTAAAAGGAGAGATGTTTTCTGGGTTTTTCTGTAGCTTGGTTTCCTGGAGTTTTTCCACCTGCACTTTGTGACTGTAAAATAGATCACACAGAAATGTGGTGTGGCCCAGGCACAGAAGACCCGGTGCCATGGCAAAGGGTCACTGCTAATTCTTAGGCCAGTGGCCCAGACTGTGTCAGGGCTCCTTGCAGCCCACCCCTGGGTAAGAACTGTTACCACTTTTATACATCATGAAATAGAATCCAGTGACCTATCCAAGGAACATGACTAGACCACGGAGAGCCGGGCTGGGACTCTGGGCTCTGACTACAAATCCTGGATTCATTGTATGAGAACACTCTGACTCCAGTAGCTGTTTCTGAGTTGGAGTAGTATTCAGGGTCCCTGTCACATGCACACACACACAAACTCGTGGGCATTCAAGAGCCCACAATGCAAGGGATCTCCCCCTGCTGCCACTGTCCCTTGCCTCTACCTGATTATAATCTTTTCCTGCAAAGCCTCACACCTAGACATTACTCTCAAAATGGTGGCCAGGATGAACTCAAGCTTTTAATTTTCTCTGTTTGGGAGATGTAAGAGGAAGTCCACCTTTATAGTTGGGTCTGGTTAATGACTACAAGTCCTGATGTTCATAGAAACACAGAACTGGGAAATGAGGGTGGGTCCCTTGGAGGTGACCTATCACTGCGACTTGTATAGCATCCCTGCCCCTTCCTGAGCCTCAGGGTTTGTTTTCTATGTGGATAGTTATGGAATGGATGTCTCTTCCAAAACAGCAAGTGCTAAATCCAGACATAATGAATTTTCCTTTTTCTCTTTGAATCTATCACAAGTATTTAAGGATGCTTATATCTCTACACCTTATGCTTGATCTCTCTCTGTCTCTGTCTCCCTCTCTCTGTATATATATTTATATGTCTATATATAAAATCTATATCTCAGAATAGGAAGCATCCTTTTTTTAATTTTTATTTTTTGAGTCAGAGTCTTATTCTGTCACCCAGGCTGGAGTACAGTGGGACAGTTATGGCTACTACAGCCTCAGCCTACTGGGCTCAGGTGATCCTTCCACCTCAGCCTTCCAAGTAACTGGGGCTACAGGCATGTGCCACCACAGGGAGCTCATTTTTAAAAAATTTGTTGTAAAGACAAGGTCACGCCATGTTGCCCAGGCTGGTCTCAAACTCTTGGGCTCAGGCAGTCCTCTCCACTCGGCCTCCCAAAGTGCTGGGATTACAGGCAGGAGCCACTGCGCCCAGCTGGGAGCATCCTCTTAATTGATGCTATTTATGAAAGAATAAAGGACAAGGCAACAGCTTCACCCCCTCTCAGACGCTACTCTGATTCAATAGCTTCCTCAGTTTCTCCATAGAGAATATTCTAATTGATGCAAACTGTTTATACCCTGTAGGTTTTAAGGGATCATGGACAAAGCTTTCTTGTTGGTAATCAGCTGAGCCTTGCAGATGTGATTCTACTCCAAACCATTTTGGCTCTGGAAGAGAAAATTCCTAATATCCTTTCTACATTTCCTTTTCTCCAGGTAAGTGAAACCATGTATTAGAAGACCGACCCGGAACTCTAAAGTCTTCCCCCAGTTTCTGTTTTTTGATTGGGGTGTGTGTGTGTGTGTGTGTGTGTGTGTGTGTGTGTGTGTGTGTATGTGCGAGAGATATTTTTAGACTCTGGTTTGGAAAATGAAATGAAAGTATGGACTTGAAATTGTTTCTCTGGACTTCAAATTCTTAGGGTTAAAGGATAATTGACAGGTAAAAAAATTTTTTTTTGGAGGCTGAGTATGGCGGTTCACACCTGTGCTCCAAGCATTTAGGGAGGCCGAGGAGGGAGGATTGCTTGAGCCCAGAGTTTGAGACCAGCATGAGCAACACAGCGAGAATGCATCTCTACAAAAAATAAAAATAATAATCCAGGTGTGGTGGTGTGTACCTGTAGTCGCAGGTACTCAGGAGGCTGAGGTGGAAGGATGCCCTGAGCCCGGAAGTTCAAGGCTGTGGTGAGCCATGATCGTGCCACTGCACTACAGCCTTGGTGACAGAGTGAGATCCTGACTCAATAATAATATTATTATTATTATTATTGTTTGTTTAAGATGCTATCTCACTATGTTGCCCAGGCTGGTCTTGAACTCCTGGACTCAAGTGATCCTCCCACCTCAACCTCCTGAGTAGCTAGGACTATAGGCATGCACCACTGTGCCCAGCTCAGAAATGTTCACCTTAGTTTTCTTCCATAACTATACTCTTGGGAACACACTTCACAAATAGAGATTTGCCAATGGGACTTTCCATAGAGATAATATAGGGACAAGTTGCTCCTCAGTTATATGTTCTGGATCTACTGATGGGAGAGTGGGCATCAAAAACATCAAAACAGTCATCTCTACAAAAAATAAAAAAATTAACTGAATGTGGCAGCACACTTGTGGTTCTAACTAGCCAGAAACCTGAGATGGAAGGATCACATGAGCCCAAGAGTTGGAGGCTGCAGTGAACCATGAACATGCCACTGCACTCCAGCGGGGGCAATAGAGTGAGATCCTGACTCAAACAACAACAACAAAAACCAAAAAACTTTAGGTCAAAACTATCCCAAATGTTGAACGAATAAAGTCAAACTCAAAAACAGTCTCTTCACTAGCGCGTGACTTACTTTCTTGGAAATAATGTGGTCTCAAATCAGAAACTTCCAAACCTGAGTTCTGAAAGCAAATGAGAGGCACCATAAACATCACCCCAAAGAGTTCCCTCTGTTCTTCTTCCCAGAAATTCCAAGGAAAGACTTGCGTGACTCAGATGATTTCTTTGTGTGATTCTAGCAGGACTGATCACAGAATTTTATTTTTATTTATTTATTTTTTTATTTATTTTGAGTTGTAGTCTCACTCTGTTGCCCAGACTGGAGTGCAGTGGCATGCTCCTGGTCACTGCAGCCTCGACTTGCTGGGCTCCAGCGATCCTTCTGCCTCAGCCTTCCAAGCAGCCGGAACTACAGGCGCGCGCTACCACGCCCAGCTAATTTTTTATTTATTGTAGAGACGAGGTGTCGCCAAGTTGCCTGGGTGGGTCTCAAACCCTCGGACTCAGGCAATCCACTCGCCTTGGCCTCCCAAAGTGCTGGAATTACAGGCTGAGCCACCAAGCCTGGCCTGATCACAGAATTTTAAAGTAGGTAAGCCCTTTAAAAAAACATTCTCAGCCAGGTGTGTGGCTCATGCCTGTAATTCTAGTGTTTTAGGAAGCTAAGACTGGAGAATTGCTTGAGGCCAGGAGTTCATGACCAGCCTGGGCAACATAGTGAGACCTCATCTCTACAAATGAATGAAGGAAGGGAGGGAGGAAAGGAGAAAACAGGCAAGGAGGAAAGGAAGGAAGCCAGGCCCATCATCCTAGAACTTTGAGAGGCCAAGATGGGAGGATTGCTTGAGGCCAGGTTAAACACCTGGCCTTGAACAGACCAGCCTAGGTGACATAACAAGACCACATCTCTACAAATGAAATGAAGACAGAAAGGAAGAAGTCAGACCTTGTCTCTACAGATGAAGGGAAGAAGTAGGGAGGGAGGAAAGAAAGAAAAGAAAAAGAAGCCAGGCATGATGGCTCATGTAAGAAGACTGAGTTGAGAGTATTGCTTGAGTCCAGGAGTTCAAGGTTGCAGTGAGCTATGGTGGTTGAACATATATCAAAGGAATAATATTTGTGATGTGAAATTATATGAAATTCAAGTTTCAGTGTTTACAAAGTTTACTGGGACAAAGCCATGCCCACTCATGTTTGCACCATCTGCATTTGCTCTGTGCTTCGCAGGAGACCACGAGGCTCTCACAGCCCAAAACATTTGCTGACTAGGTCTTTGTAGAAAAGGTTGCCAATGCTTAATATAGACCAAATTGATATATCTTTGGCCCAGTTATCAAAAACCAAGAGAGACACACTAAATCCCCAAAGGGTAGCATACTGTATGTAACTAAAGGCTTTTTTTCCAAATCTAGTAAACATCATTTTGAAATACTAGTGAGAACAGCTGCCATCAGTTCAATAAATATACCCAGAAAATGAGACTAGAAATCTTCAGTAAGTGGCAAATAAGCCACCCTATCATTTATGATGTTGCAGTAGTGTGTGTGTGTGTGTGTGTGTGTGTGTGTGTGTGTGTGTGTGTATTCATCTATTCCTGTAGATACAGATGAATTTTTTTTAATTTGACTTTATTCATTTAGCTTTTGGGATATTTTTGACCCAAAGGATTCTCTTTTTTTTGCTTTTTAAGTCAGTGTCTCTTTCTATTGCCCAGGTTAGAATACAAATGGCACATTCATGGCTCACTGCAGCTTCCAGCTCTTAGACTCAAGTATCCTCCCGCCTCAGCCTCCTAAGTAGCTAGAACTATAGATGTGCCACCATATCCAGCTAATTTTTTTATTTTTTGTAGAGATGAGTCTCATTTTGTTGCCCAGGCTGATCTTGAACTCCTGGGCTCAAGCAGTTTTCCCGCTTCAGCCTCCCAAGTGCTTGGATCACAGACGTGAGCCACTACACGTGGCCTGAAGTATTCTTTTGCACGCTTAAGAAAGTGATTTGCTGGGCAGAGAAGGGAAATAAGAGGATGGGATCTGCCATTATTTGTGTGCTTGCCTCATTCCAGTGGATCTGCTAGGCACTTATGTGCACTTACTCATCTGCACCCCACAACCCTGCCCCAGTAGCCCCAGGAGGTGGGTTTTGCTATCCCCGTTTCACAGATGAGATCTACAGGCTTGGAAACATGATACAATCCTCATGAAGTCACATGACTGTAGGTGACTGAGTCGGGAGTCACAGAGGGGCTGAGATCTAAGACTGTGCCCTATCCCCTAGTGTGTGTGGCTTCCTTAAAATGCATTTTTAAGAAGTCTGAGCTGGGCTCGGTGGCTCAGCCTGTAATCCCAGCGCTTTGGGAGGCTGAGGTGAGTGGACTGCCTGAGCCCGCGGGTTCGAGACCCGCCTGGGCAACTTGGCAAGACCTCATCTCTACAATAAATAAGTCAAAAATTAGCCGGGCGTGGTAGTGTGTGCCTGTAGTTCCAGCTACTTGGAAGGCTGAGGCGGAAGGATCGCCGGAGCCCTGCAGGTCGAGGCTGCAGTGGCTGGGAGCAGCCACTGCACTCCAGTCTGGGTGGCAGAGTGAGACTCCAATTCAAAAAAAAAAGAAGTCGGTAGAAGAACATTTGGCCTGAAATAGGTAGGATGCCAAACTCAGAAGTAGGTAGAATGCTAAACTTATCAAGTCTGAAATCTTTCCAAGGATGTATGTATGTGCTTGTGTACACATATACCTAACAGGCATTAAATACTTTTCATTGACTGCATTGGAGATCTAAAAACTCTAAGGTAAATCATAGAGAACTAACTCTTTTGGCTGACCGTAGCACCAGGCCCTATTGATGTTTTCCATTCATGTTGCCAACAACTTGTTTTTAACCCCCAAAATTGTATAGATACAATTTTAATCTCTGACTGAGTTGAATATTAATATTTAAGGACTTCAGAATCTGACAGCACATCTGTGTTGATTTAAGAGATTATTCCTGTATTGATTAATGGTTTTTTAAAAATCACAAATGTTTTATTATATATGGTAACTATGAACCCAGGTAAATCTTGAAATGATAAATCCTTTAAAACAAGCTTCTAAATATTGGTATGATAAATTCACATTTAAATAATACAAATAAAGTATAAGTAAGTAATGAAAAGAGAAAGTTGTCATATTTGTATAAAGTTAATTGGCATAATTATTAGGAATTTGTTAATATTCATGGTGCATGTATGGATATGTGTATTTGTGTGTGTGCTTAATTAAGGCTTTGCCTTGCATGTAATAGGCATTTAATAATTAGTAGCTATTTTTAAAAATTACATGACCTCTTCTCTTTAAAAGATTTTTTGAGAATAAGTATATGTGATGAGTATGTGTCTTTATCTAGTTCAAATTTTTCACAGACCTGATGGACTTTTCTTTACAGTTACTGAGAATTGTTAAGATTTGACTCTATGAATGAAAAATGTAATTTTTTCCTTCCACTCCAGTTTACATAAATATGTTATCAGAGTCATATATATACATGGGTTGTTACCATGTCCCACATATAGCCAGCTAGGAGCAAAAGGTTCAAGGAACCAGAATCTTAAAATATAAATTGTATCATCTGATGACTTTTTAAAGCACTTTATTTAAATTTTTCATGCGTCTTGTCTGAGCAGATTAATACACGTGAAGTATTTTCTAAGTGTTTCTTTTTTTCTCTTTGAGTATCATAATCCTATTTTAAGTATGTGTTTTGTTTTGCTGTCTCTGAAAAGAGTTCATGTGTCTTTTTGTGAACTAGAAGATTGGCATACACCCTAGTGTCCATTCCAGTTATTGGTAGCAGAGATTGTAAATAATCATAGAGATAAGACTTTAACAAATGCTGGATTTTAGTTTGCTTGATCCCTTCAACAAATATTTATTGAGTAAATTTTGATGGGCCATTTTGCACAACCATATTTTCAGAGTAACTGATACCTTTGCTGTTAACCTTGAGCTTTTGTGTTTTCCTTTTTCAGGAATACACTGTGAAAATAAGTAATATCCCTAATATTAAGAGATTTCTTGAACCTGGGAGCAAGAAGAAGCCTCCCCCTGATGAAATCTACGTGAGAACCGTCTACAACATCTTTATGCCATGAGCCAACATACTTCTGTGAGTGAGCACGTGACCCTGGAAATGGCAGTGTCCACGGTGATATCTTAATTGATTTCTGCCCTATCATGGTGCTGTGTATTAAGTTGGGCCCTAATTTGGTTTTTCATGTTGAGGAGATTGTCTTTTTCTGTCTAATAACAATTGTTATAGGACCTTTTTTGGAAAACCTTTTTTTGGAGAGGCTAGTATTTAAGTTGGATCTGATCGGATTACTCATTTCTTGTAGCTAGTTCATCCTGATCAGGGGAGTGGGCAGGATTTCATGTTCTTTCCTGAGCATCTTTCTGCTCTCCTTACCTTCTAGTCTCCCTAATTTTTAGTATCTAATAACAACAAAATGTCTTGTGGATGACTATCCTCTGAGCTGTAGTAAATCAAATGATAGTGGTGAATGCAATCGATTTCAGCCAAAATAAAGAATTTGCCAATCATTGCCATGTTGCTAGAATTTCTAAGTTACATTTTTGAAATATAGAATATATTCACATGGTTCAAAAATTTTAAAATGTATAAAGGGCTCTATAGTCTTAGAAGTCTTTCAGTTCTGCCTCCAGCACCCCAGTCCTGCTTCTCACCAGCAAACACAGTTATTATTTGTATATCCTTCCAGGTATATTTGACACATGTATAAGGTAATACAAAATTATATCATTTTTGTCTTCTTACTACTCAAGTGGTTATGTATAGGCTTCTATTTTTTGCATTTCAGAATTAAATGTACGGTCTAGTAATTCTGCTTTTAAACAGGTGTTGATTTATGTCTCAAATACTAATTGAGCACTTAGTACATGCCAGGCAGGGTGCTAGGAATAAATAGAACAAAGCTCCTGCTCTAGAAAATTTCACCACAGAGTAGGGGGGAAACGTGTAAACGCAGAAGTGATCTTGGAAAACAAAGAATTGCTGCCTCTGGAGTATCTACTACTTAGGAATTTCAAAAGCAAGGCAGGCAAGATTTTGATAAGATCTCCTAGAGAGGACACACTCATTCCTCAATAACCAGAGGGATTTTTTGCTCAGCAGTAACAAGAGAAAAAGAATTGTGAGGTGATCATTAGTGTCTGTCACGATCAATGCAAGTGCCTCAGTGTTTTCACTGGAGGAAAATCCAGTGCAAATCACTCAAGGGAGTGATCTGCTCTTTATACGTACACAGTGGGGGCACTCTGCCATCACTCTGATACTTAAAATTCTTGCAAGAGTAAACAGCTGGTGACTGGTGCAGACAGACCTGAAGAACAGTACTGTCTTAGACTGCAGCATCAGAGGGGAGGCCCAGCCCCAGCTAGGCCCCAGATTGCAGTGCCCAAAACAAAGAAGGAATGGAAAGTGTGTAGTAAAGAATTTCACCTTGCCCCAAGAAAGGTGTGGGCCAGGCAGGGTCTGAGCCATTGAAATGTCTTTGCCTGGGGCCCTTGGGCCAGCCTGGCAGTAACAGTGTGATGTAGGGTGAGAGCTTTGAGCCCCTGCAGTAATGTGAAATAGGGGTCATGTGGTGTCAGTTCAACTCTGGAGGAGGGGAACAGATCAGCCACTTTGGCTGCCAACCATGCATGGGCTCCCAGTAAAACTCTAGGTTTGGCTGGGCTTGGTGACTCATGCCTGTAATCCCAGCACTTTGGGAGGCCGAGGTGGGAAGATTGCTTGATCCAGGAGTTTGAGACCAACATAGGGAGACCCCATCTCTAAAAAAAAAAAAAAAAACCAGGCATGGTGGTGCATGCCTAATACCCCCAGCTACTCTGGAGGCTGAGAAGGAAAGACCACCTGAGCCCAGGGAGTCGAGGCTGTGGTGAGTTATGATTGTGCCACTGTATTCCAGCCTGGGCCAAGGAGTGAGATCCCAATTAAAATAAACAAACAAACAAACAAACAAAAAAACCCTCTAAGCTCCAAGGCTTAGGTAAGCTTCCTGGGTAGACAATACTTTGTGTGTATCATGCTACATTGTTGCCAGGAGGAATGTGAACACTGCCATGACTCCACCTAGAGAGGACATCTGGGATCCTGTGCTTGGACTCTACCCCATGCACCTCTTCCCTTGGTTGATTTCCGTCTGTATACTTTCCCTGTAATAAACCACAGCTGTGAGTATAACAATGTGTTCTGTGAGTCTTTCTAATGAATTCTTCAACCTGAGGGTGGTTTTGGGTAACCCTGAACTTGCAATTGGTGACAGAAGTGAGAGCAGTCTTAC